GGTCCCTGGGGGGTGGAAACGCTCCTGGGCAGGCTCCGCTGGGTGAAAGCAGCTTTTCTCGCTGTCAGAGCAGCACATTCTCTGGCCTCGCTCCCTCCTTCCCCAGAGCTTCCTCTCCGTCCCTCTGGCTCCCAGCTGCTGGCAGGGTTGCGATGGTTTTCTGCTGCTACAGCTAAAACTACTAGCCAGAGTGCAACACTGATTGCAGTAATGAAAATGGTTTTGATGCAGTCCTTGTCATTTAATCCTGAACTTACTGTGGCTGCCTGTAGTAGTTAACGTAAAATAATGTAGGAGATAACATGGTGATTGTTAGAGATGGAACAGGGTAAGAGCATGTCGTAGCTTAGCACCTACGAGCGTTGTCCAGACTCTGTGGTCAGGAAGCAAGAGCTGTGAGGGAGAGATGAGTTGTTTTCTGTGGAACTGAGGGTGGAAGAAGCAATCCAAGTGCTGGGTAGTAAATTAGCATCGTGTTTGTCACATTCAGACTGACAGGATGGCCGGTTCTCATTTATAAGTGAAAATGTCTCACGTTGTTTAAGACACTAAAGGGAAGGGCTCAGCACTGGGATTGTTCTTTTGACCTTGAGCTTGGGCCCGTGCCGTGGTTCCCTCTGCAGATGCTTTGCTGCTTCTTGAATTTAGTTGCTGAATGGTAGGTGAGGTTTTCTGCCCTGGAGCTTGATTCCGATATGCTAAAAACCAAAAATAAAGACTGTCTCATCTTTCTTTTCACACTTGCTCTTTCATTTTGCCTTTCCGTGATCACTGTGCCTACGCTTCATGTCGCTGACGCACCTGCATTTCTCAGGTCATGTTGGTGTTGCTACTTGCTTACTCCTTTTGTTGTCCGATTAAATTGTTGGGTGAAATTCTTGTCTCTGACTGTGACTGTCTAGTCCCTGAGGCTGATTCTGTGAAATCCCGTGTCTGGAGGTCAGCTCTGTACGGGGAATTACTGGCTAAAGAAAGCGAGGGTTAGTAAAAGGACTGTGTAAAAACAGGAGGCAGCTATGGTGAGGGAGCAGGCAGCATAGATTTGGAGGTGGATCATGTGTGGGACGTCTCAAGAATTATCTTGGAGACTGATTTTGTGTTCAGGACCCGAAAAAAACCAGCATGCTTTGCAAAAAGCTGTGGGACAATGTGAATACAACAGGAAGGTGAGACTTGCACAGGAAGGCTTAGAAGATCCTGAGGACGTGAAGTAGGAATGAGGGAAAATTTAATAACACAAGATTGTGCTCTTAGCTCCCAGTAAGAAGGATTTCTGCTGTGCAGGGGGAGAGATCGCACCTGGAACCACTGTGTGAGGCAAAGGCCTTTAGGTTGCCAGTGGGTGACACGATATCGAGTGTCTCTGCTGTGCGATGTGTTCGCAACGACACAGGAGCAGGAGCTCTTTAAGTTCAAGCTCACTGTTAGTGCTGCACTAAATTTTTATTACTAAAAACTGTGCTATGGGTGCAGATATTCCTCATGTTGTAAGTAACCTTCCTCTAGCTCCCTGCTTGCAGGTTAGGGGTCCTGTTTGGATCAGGCTCTGGGGTGCAGCAGAAGGTCTGACTCTTCTCTGCTTTCTGTGCAGTCAGAAAATGTGAAGTCTGAGGGCACGTTCCAGGTCACCATGCTGCCCGGAGATGGGGTGGGCCCGGAGCTCATGCACGCCGTCAAGGAGGTGTTCAAGGTGAGGGCTCCTGCCCCTCGGTGGGACGGGGTGGGCGGGGAGGGGAGGAGCAGCAGCTGCAGAGTTGGTTAAAGATGCTGCTGATCCGGAGACCCTCCAGGACCAACCTGTCCGTCTCCTCCGGTGCAGAAGAGAGCTGGTTGTGAAAACCCTGGGATCTCCCCCTTCCCATAAATAGGTTCAGCTTGAGCAGCAGTCTTGCAAACTGTCTCACTCTTAAATGGGAAAATATTCCCAGTCTGGAACCGTGTCCTGGGGCCAGCAGAGCCTGGGTCCATCGCCTGCTCGGTCCTCCTCCCTCTGCTGAGGCAGCAGCAGGCGCTGATGCTGTCCAGGCCGGTGACAGGGAGGACACAGGCTGTCCTCAGTGCTCCTGTCGGGAACGTGGCCACAGGGCTGTCATTGTCCAGAGCCCTTTGTGTCCTTCTGACCTCCTCCTAGTCTGTGGTGAGCCCTGCAGCAACGTCGGAACTCGGGGAGGCAGTCAGTAGTTCATAGTTCTGCCTTCTAGCGCCCAAGTTCTGTCACATCGAAGGCAGCAAACGTGGCGGTGTCTGCCACGGTGTCGGTTACGCTGTAATTACAGTAAGGAAGGGGCGTCCTGGTGTTAAAGGGGACAGAAAACATTGTTCAGTTGGAACTGAAGTGACCCAGAGGTCCAGGTTCAGCATTTCAGGAGCCCGGTTCCCTTTTCTCACGGAGCAGGCAGCCTGGCTGGTTTAAGGGTTCACATCCCAGCTCTCCGAGCCTCTCTGTAACGTGTAGCGCAACGTCCTCACCGAGTCTCTGATCTGACGGGGCGACGGCTCTGTCCCTGCATCTCTCGCGCAGGCTGCAAGCGTGCCGGTGGTCTTCGATGAGCATCACCTGAGTGAGGTGCAGAACATGGCATCGGAAGAAAAACTGGATCAGGTGGTTGACTCTATGAAGGAAAGCAAAGTCGCCCTTATAGGTGAGGAAGCACGCTAGCGGTCCGTCCGGCAAGGAGCGGCTTTCTGCTCTGCCTGCAGGAGACGTTCCCTCACCTCAAATGCCATCGGGTGCTTTCAGAGGGCGGGAATTTCTGTGGTAGGTCCTGGAGAAGGAAACATGCTGTCTTTAATCTAAGCAGCAAATTGCTGAAGTGCTTACTGAATTTACCAAAGGGGAGGTTACATCTGGCTTCTGCTTTTGAAACAAGATCTCCTAGCGTGGCCCAGAGAAGCAAAGGGCCTTGTCAGGGTCCCGTATGGCGAGAGATCTGTCCCCATGCTTGGCTGAGGGTCTGTTGAAGCATCCCCTGCCCCAGCCCTTGCTGCCCTGTCGCCTGGGTTCAAGTGATGTCCTTAGCAGCTGTCAGCGTGCTCCGTGCTCTGTGTTCTTACTCCTGCTCGATGATGTCCTGCAGGCAAGATCCACACCCCCATGGAGTACAAGGGAGAGCTGGCTTCCTACGACATGAGGCTCAGGTGAGCTCTGACCCTGCTCGGCTGCCGGGCGGGGCTGGGCACCAACACGTCAATCGCTGGGAAAACCCTATTGCGTTTGGTCGTGGTGTTCTGCCGCTGAACTGGGGGCCAAAGGAAGAAGCAAGACTAGGCCAGGTGGGAAATTAATACGTTATTGGGAAGGAAAAGATCCTGAGGGACTGTCTGTGGGCAGGAGCTGGCTCTGTTCAGTGTGAGCCTGCTGCCTGCTGCTTTGGGGGTCCTGGGGAGCAGGGGGTGGGTGGCTGGAAAACAGCCAGTGGTGGTTTGCCTCGACAGGGGGTCATCGAAGCCATGCTGTGACGAGGTGCGGCCGGCTCGTGATCCTGAGGGGAAAGGTGCATGGATGGGTGGATAGATAGATGGACAGATAGCTGTGGGAAGGTGTCAGAGGGTGGGGAGCTGTTCACACTGTCACCAGCTGTTACCCCTATTACTTGTAGGGAACAGTCACTGCCCCAGAAATAGGTTGTGATGAAACGCTGACTGTGCTGCTGCTTTGCAGGCGCAAATTAGACCTGTTTGCAAATGTTGTCCATGTGAAGAGCTTACCGGGCTATAAAACACGCCACAACAATTTGGACCTCGTGATCATCCGTGAGCAGACAGAGGGGGAGTACAGCTCGCTGGAACATGAGGTACGGGAGCCTCCCACCAGCACACGGGCGCTCTGCTTGGGGTTATTGCTGGCCTTGTTGGAGGAGAGGGAAACCTGCCTCGGGATGTGCGGCTTTCCTCGCTGCCAGGGACACGTTCCTGCTCTCCATACCAGAGCTGCTCAGCACCGCAGCGGAACTGGCTGGAGCAGCAGTGATGTACCCAGAGACAGTGATGGAACCCGGGGAGTGTTTAGTGACAGGAATACACGCAGACCCAGCGAGGATGGGGTTGGGCTGCAGGAGGGATAATGCCACAAAAAAGAGACGTGGGTATTAAGGAACCCCTCGATGAGGGGTGATCCGGCAAAGACACCACATCTCTTTCGAAGCGCCAGGGCTGCCGGCGTGGTGGGGGTTGGTGAGGCGCGGCGCTGGGCTGCGTGGTGCGCGCGAGGGCTGCTCACACTCCCTTTCCTGGCCAGAGCGCAAAGGGAGTCATCGAGTGCCTGAAGATCATCACCCGGGCCAAGTCGCAGCGCATCGCCAAGTTCGCCTTTGACTACGCCACCAAGAAAGGGCGCTCGAAGGTTACGGCTGTGCACAAAGCCAACATTATGTGAGTGCCACGGGAGCAGGTTTGGAACGCTGTCTGATTGTCAGACGCGCGACTGCTGTCACGTCTGGGGCCTTGTTGCTCTCAGCTTTGGATCCCGATCAGAGCAGGGCCAGTCTGGTTCCAGAGGGGCTGGGCTTTCCCTGGGAATAGTGGTTTTTTCTCTCTGTATGGTCTCGTCTCCAGCATGAGGCCCAACAGCTGCATCCTGGAGGCTGCCAACTGAGAGGGGAAGAGCTCTGGCATTGAAAGCTAATCCCTCGTTGCTCCCCCTGGGCCCCGATTTCCCCACCTGTGCTGTGGGTGTGCGGTGGTGTGGGGGGCTCTAGGGTTGCCTGCCTTCCGCTGCCCCGCTGCAGTGGGACGCCACGTGCTATTGCATTGCTGCCTGCTGCTGTCCTGATTGTGCTGCTGTCCTGCAAACCCCTTCGTGTGTTTCTTGTCTCTCAGGAAATTAGGTGATGGGCTCTTCCTGCAGTGCTGTGAAGAAGTGGCAGAACTGTACCCCAAGATCAAATTTGACACCATGATCATTGACAACTGCTGCATGCAGGTGAGGATCCCGTTGCCCTGCCCCAGAGCTGTTCTGCACCGCCTGCTGCTGTGGGGCCAGCTGAGCCCAGCCAGAAAGATCTGAAACCTGAAAAGCTGCTGCCAGCGACAGCTTGGCAGGTCCGGGCGGCCGCCCTGGCCCCTGGCCCGAGGTTTGCTCCTTGCACAAGACAGGAGCCTTCTCCCTGCTCTGCTCTAGCTGAGGGCAGGAGCTGCGGGGATTGAAGGTCGCAGGGGTGTTTAGAATCATAGAAACACGGAACGATTTAGGTTGGAAAAGACCTTTAAGATGATCGAGGCCAACCGCTAACCTAGCACTGCCAAGGCCACCACTAACCCATGTCCCTCAGCACCACATCTACACGGCTTTTAAATCCCTCCAGGGATGGGGACGCCACCACCTCCCTGGGCAGCCTGTGCCAGTGCCTGACAACCCTGTTGGGGAAGAAATTTTTCCTGATACGCAAACTAAACCTCCCCTGGCGCAACTATGTCTCATCTGGGCTTGCAAAACTCTGCCAGGTGAGGTAGGGCTGTGGCTCCCGAGCCGTTTCAGCAGGGCTCTGTGTGCTCCCAGCTGTCACTTCAGCACAGTTTGGGGGTGCTGTCAGACACAGTGGGTTCTGCCACTCCACCAGATTTGTGCACTCTGCCCTGTCCTGAGGGCTGTCGAGCTGCCTGCAGCCCGTCTTGGGCATGCAGGGCCTCACGTCCTCCTGTTCCCTCCGTGCAGCTGGTGCAGAACCCCTACCAGTTCGATGTCCTGGTCATGCCGAACCTGTACGGGAACATCATCGATAACCTGGCGGCTGGCTTGGTGGGCGGCGCCGGCGTGGTTCCCGGGGAGAGCTACAGTGCCGAGTACGCCGTGTTCGAGATGGTGAGGACTCTCGGCTCCCGCGAAGCTGCTGTGCCGTACCAGCACCCCGGATTCTTGGGAGGGGGCCGCTGGGGACTGGGGTGTGGAAGAACCGTGGCTTCTTCTCCCGCAGGGCGCCCGCCACCCCTTCGCCCAGGCCGTGGGCAGGAACATCGCCAATCCCACGGCCATGCTGCTCTCGGCTGCCAACATGCTGCGGCATCTCAAGTAGGTGCCTTTCGCGTGGGGGTGCGGTGGGGTGGGCAGCGCTGCCTCGGCCCTGCCGGGGAGTGTGGGCAGTGGGGGCTGACAGAGAGACTGACCCTCCCGCAGGGCGCCCGCCACCCCTTCGCCCAGGCCGTGGGCAGGAACATCGCCAATCCCACGGCCATGCTGCTCTCGGCTGCCAACATGCTGCGGCATCTCAAGTAGGTGCCTTTCGCGTGGGGGTGCGGTGGGGTGGGCAGCGCTGCCTCGGCCCTGCCGGGGAGTGTGGGCAGTGGGGGCTGACAGAGAGACTGACCCGCAGCTCCTTTTCCCTCACCAGCTTGGAATTCCACTCCAATTTGATTGCGGATGCGGTGAAGAAGGTGATCAAAGTCGGAAAAGTGAGTGTCAGGCCGCCGGCCTTGCTGTGTGCCCGTAGCTGTGTGCGTGTTTGTGGTAGCGAGCCGCTCTGCGTTCTCCCCGACGGACAAGTGCGAGTCTCCGGCCTCCTCACCCATTTCCAGCTCAGAAACCTGCGTGCGTGCCGCTGCGGCTGTCGTCAGCTCTCTGCGCTTCTCTCGGGGATTGCTCCTGCTGCCGTAGCGGTGCTTGCTGGCGAGGGACGCTCTGGCAGGGCTGGTGGACGTCGGACGGCCTCTTTCTCGCGTGCCGCCCCGCTGGGGGTCTCTGGCAGGGCGCATAGAGGGAAGCTGCTCTCCTCTCCCGCCTCGCAATCATTTCACTCGGTTCACGGTCACATTTCTCCCTTGTTTCTCCCCTTCCCTGTGTTGGATTTTTAGGTTCGGACACGGGACTTGGGCGGTTACTCCACCACTTCTGACTTCGTGAAGTCTGTGATTGACAACCTGCACCCCCACTATGGTGCCTAGGAACCCCGCTCGCCCCGGGGAGTCGGGGCCTTCACTGCACCCTGCAGCAGCTTCCCGTAGCTTACAGCCCCGCACCGCGTCC